TTTGTGTGTGTGTGTGTGTGTGTGTTTGTGTGTGTGTGTGTGTCGTGTGTTTGTGTGTTGTTTGTGTGTTTGTGTGTGTGTGTGTGTGTGTATGTGTGTTTTTGTGTTTGTGTGTAGTGTGTGTGTGTGTGTGTGTGTGTGTGTGTCTGGCGTGTTTGTGTGTGTGTCGGTGTGTGTGAGTTGTGTGTGTGCTGTGTGTGCGCACGCGCGTGTGTATGTGGTGTGTGTGTGGCATAGTGTGTGTGTACGCGGCGCGCGTGTGTGTGTGTGTGTGTGTCGGTGTGTGTATGTATACGTGCGTGGCGTGCGTGAGTGTATGTGAGTGTGGTGTGTGTGCTGTGGTGTGTGTGTGTGTGTGTGTGTGTGTGGTGTGTGTGTGTGTGGTGGTGCGGTGTGTGTGTGTGTGGTTGTGTGTATGTGTAGTGGTGTGTGTTTGTGTGTGGGCGCGTGTGTGTGTGGGGTGTGTGTGTGTGTTTGTGTGTCGTGTGTGTGTGCGTGCGTGCGTGGACGTGCGTGCGTGCGTGCGTGGCGTGCGTGCATGTGGGTGTTGTTGTGTTGTGGTGGTGTGTGTGTGTGTGTGCGTGTGCGTGTGCGTGTGCGTGTGCGTGTGCGTGTGCATCGTGCTGTGCGTGTGCGTGTGTGTTTGTGTGTTGGTGTGTGTGTGTGTGTGTGTGTGTGTGTGTGTGTGTGTGTGTGTGCGTATATATATATAAATACACTGAACTATACATCCGTCCGTAGAGGTACTTTGCATGCATTGCTTCTTGAAAGGATGTATACATTACTCATGGCTCCTTCGCGTGAGAGATCAGTCGCGGCGATACGTGGTCGCTTCATTAAAACGAACACGACGGAGTGCACAAAATGAATAGAGCTAGTGAACGAGGCGCGGCCTCACGACCTGCCTCCGTTCTAATCAGGTTTCCGAGCACAAGAAAGGAGCTTTTCTTGCGCTGTGCGTGTACGCATGTGCTAGGTGTCTTCATCTTTGTTATTGCATAATGGTCGTGGTTTAGTATAATGAAATAGACAAACACCAGAGTTAAACATAAACGTACAGCTAACAGCATCACGGATCAAGATTTTAGGACAAATTTATCTATAATATAACTGAAACTATATGTCGTTTATAAGATATTACAATCCCTTTGCTTTTAAATTAATAAATAAGAAACACCCTCGGTCTGTAGCCCTTGGTTGGAAAGTCATTTTGCGCAACTTTTCAGATCGTGCGCTTTGAGTGGTGCCACCGTCGTTGTAATCAAACCGTAGTCGTTAGTTTTAAAACATTAAAAAAAAAATTCTAATGGTGATTGAACCATGAAACTTTGTATGTAGCGTAAGTTTAACCCAAATTAACTGAAAATAACCCTAGAATCTAGAGTAAATGATCCCTTTAATCATCGCAGAAATTCTAGCGAGCTGACGTTATGTGCATTCAATACTACAACAGCGTGGCAGTCAGTGCTGGACAAACAGTACAGTACATTGCCGCCACGTGCAGTAGCATAGACCGCTGCGTTATTCCTCTCTTCCCCCTCTCTCTCTCTCGCTGTCTCTCTCTCTCTCTCTCTCTCTCTCTCTCGCTGTCTCTCTCTCTGTCTTTCTCTCTCTCTTTCTCTCGCTCGTTCTCTCTTTCTCTTTCTCTTTCTCTCTCTCTCTCTCTTTCTCTCTTCCCCCTCTCTTTCTCTCTTTCTCTCGCTGTCTCTCTCCCTCTTCCTCTCTCTCTTTCGCTCTCTCTCTCTCTTCCTCCCCCCTTTCTCTCCCTCTCTCTTTCTTCCTCTGTCTCTCTATTGCACTCTCTTTCTCGCGCTTTCTCTCTCTTCCCCTCTCTGAATCTCGCTCTCTCTTTTGCTCTCTTCTGCTTCCCTTCCTCGTTCTCTCTCTATTTCTCTCTGAATCTCTCTCTCCCTGTCTCTATCTCTTTCTTTGTCGCTCTCGTTCTCTCTGAATCTCTCTCCCAAGTTGTCTCTCTGACTCGCTCGTTGTCTCTTTCCCGCTCTCTTTCTCTCTCGGTATCATCGAGATATCATAAACTCAAACGTCTATGTGAGCAGCACGAGGTGCTAAGACATAACGTCCTCGACATACTCCGCATTCCCCGTTCTTCTTTCGATCGCCGATGTGTGTACTCACGAAGCGGTTCGTGGCTATTCTAGAAGCATCGCCCGCGTTCTACGATCGATGGACTATCAACGCGTGTCTTTGCACAACGTGTTCGCTTTTCTGAGCATTCGCTTTGCTGGGTAATTTAAAAGGCGCGCGTCGAAGTCGCTTATACAAGCGATCGCGATCAAACACGGGGGGTCGTTGCCTCGTTGATTATTCTCCTTCTGCGTTGATGTGCATACTGTCCGACTAATGCGGATCCGTATCGATCCGGACCGATCCGCAGCGAGCGAGATTCGACGTTCCGCAAAATCTCTTGAACCGCGTTTTCAATGATTCACATCACTGACGCGGCGTTTAATATTTTATATTCGTTTCTCTCGACTTTTAGGCACCTCCGGCTCCATATGTCGATACGGCGAGTGTCCCGCTGGAGTAAACGGCACGTTGTTCGTACCAGCAGCGCCTATTTCCCTTCTGGGAAACGTCCGAAGAAAGTTCAACAATGTCTTTGGGAAATCGACGATGTATCCAACAGTTCGCGCCAAGAACGTTCGAAACGTCGTCATAATTCTAGCGTATTACCGATCTGGTTCCTCGTACACCGGATCGGTTTTCAATACGCACAAGGACGTCATGTATCTCTTCGAACCGCTGTATAACGTGCAGAAGGGGTACAGCAACGCGAAAGCCAACTCAGTGAGCGCGAAGCTCAGGCGCATACTTCAGCGCATAGTCGATTGCAAACTCGACGATTACGTCGACGATTTTAGAATCAATCCGAGTTTTCTAAAGCGTTCGCGTGCAGTGACTCACGCGGAGAACTGCTCGTACGTGTTGCACGCGCGCAAGGTATTCAAATGCGCTTCGTTTCCTTCTGCGTTGACGAGGTACGATCGGCGTGCGGCGGCATCACGGACTAGTCAGCAGCGGAGAAAGCTGCCAGCTGGGCTAAAATCAATTTCACTCGGCGAGCTGTGCCGCAGATACGACACTCTGGTGCTGAAGCTCATACGAGGCGACATAGCAGAGATCGAGCCGTTGCTAGGGCAACGCGGCAAGCGAATCCGTGTGATTCATCTTGTGCGCGATCCGCGAGGGATGCTGCGCTCGCAGAAGTCCATCCTTGGTCCGCGCTTCGGACTACATGAGTCCGTCAACGTGTCCATGCTGGAGCAGGCGCACGAACTCTGCGACCGCATGCTGCGCAACCTGGTGGCTGCCGACAGACTCAACAGCCGACGAGGCGACGTCGTTATGACGGTGCGCTACGAGGACATGGCGACGGATCCACACGGCGTCGTCGACGGCATGTTTAAGTTTGCCGACATCGCGATGTCGAGCGACGTACGGAGACTGCTAATGATGACGGCGGCGAAAGCGAGGATGTCGAGAGAGGACGCCTACGGTACGGTGAGGAAGAACAGCACGAAGACGGCGTACGCGTGGGAGAAGGAGGACGCGAGTTTTCTACGGCCGATTGAGTATGCATGCGGCGAGTTTCTGTCGAAGGCTGGATACCCGGTGACGTCGTCGTTGTCGGCCACCGAGCAGAGCCCGAGAGAAAGATGATGTCTTCCTAGCAACGATGAAGCCATTCCTAGGAGATCCGGCGCTTCACTGTCTGATAGCGGGTGTTTTCTTCGCAATTATTGGTTTTTATTTTTTTATTTACCTTCTTATGGGGCATATATATATATATATATATATATTATCAAGAGCTAATAAACACCTATATCTATTATTATATTATATTATATTATATTATTATTAGTAGTATTTATTAGCTCTTGATATTATAGAGAGAGAGAGAGAGAGAGAGAGAGAGAGAGAGAGAGAGAGAGAGAGAGAGAGAGTAGTAGTANAAGATACGGGTAACTCACGATACGATCCGTATCGCGATACAGAATTCTAAGATCTTTCACGATAGGATGCATATATTCAAGAGCTAATAATAGCTCTTGATAGCTAATCTAAGCTCTCTAGATAGCTCTCTAGATAGCTCTCTAGATAGCTCTCTTGATAACGCTCTTGATAGCTAATCTAAGCTCTCTAGATAGCTCTCTTGATAGCTCTCTAGA